ACATCATCAATGGCTCGAACACGGTGCACACGTGATGTTCAAACTCTTCGCTGAACACGAAGGTGCGTCGTCAATGTACACAGTTGCGTAATCCAAGTGGCAAAACATTTCATTTACCAAACGTTGAGAACTCTGCGTAAACCGAAACGCGTAACGAGAAATTCGACACAATCTCAACGCGGTTTTAGGGATATCATCCTCGGCGACGGGTATTTGATGATATGCCTTAATAAAAGTTGTTCGACCAACGAGATAAAAGGTGAGATCGTGGCAATCGATATCGGTAGGTGCAAGTAACCGCATTCGATAACCGTCGCTAGGTCCATACGAACGGTCTTTTTTGGCGACGGTGGAACTTGACCATGGCTGGCTGACATGAAACATATACTATGCTTCAACATGTAGCCAAATTCTTTTTTAGCGGTGCAAGACGTGTTACACTGAACGCCGATATTTTTGACAGAAGTTGTTTTCATTTAATTTTGTGGGTCGACGAGGCGGTTGTATCTAACGTCGATCAACAAATTAAAATGGTATAAAAAATCGAAACCTAAAATTAGGCGGCCGGGATTTCAAACGTTCATACAAATGACACATTTCAAGCCGAAATTCAACTGAGATGTCTTAGGGCTACAAGTCTGTATTTTGGTCTCATTAGCGGCCGTAAAAAGGAAGTCAGACGTACTTTATGCGCTGTCCACTGGGTTAGTAGACAACATGATGACGTAAATTAAATACATCAAACCCAATCAATATACGTGTGTACATTTGTAGAGTAGATTTTAAGAAAAAATTTGGTAAAAAATGTCTTATTAATATTCAATAATAAATTACATGTAGTATTATAAAATTTGTGAAAATTACAATTTTTCATGAGTTTTTTTATGATATCAATGCCGTATTATAATATCCTATTATTCAAATATGAATTTTAAATAGGACAGAAGAAAATGAAATATTTTCACGTCTAAACGAAATAAGTTAAAAGATGATTAACAATTTTTAATCAAAAAGCAAATTATTTGTGAGCTAGAGATATCAAATAAAAATAAATAATTCGATGTGAGGAAACACTGCGGTATTCGTCGGCTGAGAAATAGAGGTAAATACGTGGATACAGGCGGCAGGTTGGGTGGTTTTCTTTGTTTGTAACAATTGACATGTTGAACACTCTGTATAATTTACAATTAAAAAGGTAAAAGAGTAGGTTATTACTGTTTAACACAAAATTCACGACCTTATTAAGTCGTACTTTTATATTGTTTTTTAAAACCTATCCAACTAAATAAAAACCTTTCCATATATAATAATCACTAAACGCATCGAAGCTAAAATATAGGAGAATGATTTAATATGAATATTATTGACTAAGTTAGGTTTGTTCAATTGGTTTATAAAGAGGTTATTTCGGGGTTCGTAAAATCCAAGGGTTCTGAACAATACAAGTGAATATAAGAAGAAATAACAGATAACAGTCCTCTTTATTAAGTTGTAAAGACCAATTAATTGAAAAGCTCCTTTACCATTACACTGAAGTATTCTTGGAGTGGCGGTGGCTTCCTGTTTGGTACATAGTCGAAGTGTCTATTAATAAGGTGCGAACTAGTCTGTTTTGTACGGAACAGCTAGACGGTACGACAGTTACTTGTGCACCGCACTAAAATGCTGTTTTACCTTAAGTCTATTTAAATCGCTATTATTGAAGCGGAAGTGGGTCACCTGGAGGATGACGGCTAACGGTAAATCCAATAAGTGACGGGAGTAGACAATAATTAAATAACAAATAACCCCATATATTAGAAGTTTTTCAAAGAATATCTTAAATTTAAGGGATCCTTAAATACTATTGGCCGGCGAAGTGGCATAAAATAAAATAGTTAACTTCAATTAAACAAATAATAAATAATATTAAAAAATAATATAAAAACTCAGCTGAATAGTTGAAGTTGTTGAAAGTGATAAGTGGATTGTATGAGATCTTGTGGTAATGGTGTTGAACATTACAAGTTGGAGTGTTGATCCAGGCATGTAATAGCAGATGAAAACAGACGGCGGAAAAACGACTACGACAATGAAGTTATTTAGTGATGGCCAGGGCCTACTCACTGGTGGCGTGCGAGGGCACGAGGACTTTAAGCACAAGGATGCAATAAACAAACAATAAGAATAACGGCGTACAATGGCCGAACAAATTACCATTCAAGTGAAGGCGCTTGCTACAGAAAAGAATATGACACATAAAACAATAGACTGACTGACTAATGACGATGTACACATATGACAATTGTAATGGAGGTCATCGATTTTCCGTGCTGGGTGAATAAAGCAAGACGCTAGAGATCAGCTGTCACACGATATTACTATATAATCAACGATGTTAGTAAGAACTGATCTACTAGATCTTTGCTAAAGGCGTTCTGTACCAAACATAGTCAATGATGATTCATTAAAGTTTGAATAAATAAAAATTGAATTGGTACATACGAAAATTTAATAATATTACTTTTTTTTTTAATAAAAATAATGTTTCAACGCTAATAATTTTATATAATGAAGCACTAATGTAGGATAGACTAAAACGCGGGGCTGCGGTTAATGAATCTTTAAGCAGAAAATTCGCCAAGAGACAAACTACCTACTGCAAAGAAATTCGGTCTTTTTATAAGGCAGATAAATATTCCTAACTTGAATGCGATATGATAAAGGCTGATGTGATCGTAGATGATGTGAGAGATCGTGTCAAGTGGAAGTCTAGGATAAGGGTGGCCACCTCCAAGTAGTTGGGATTAAAGAGTAAAAAAAGAAGAAGATAAATATTCCAAACTCGTGTTAGGGATATTTATTTGCTGTTGTATTTTTATTTGTATAACGCAATGAAACTACTTATAATGTAATAATAGTATAATTTAATTTCTGAAATAAAAAGTATTTTTATTTTAAATTAATTAACTATAAAAAGATGATTAAAAAAAATTACTCGTCACTTTATTTTAATGGGAGTCAAAAATGCAAAAAATATATTCTTAACGTTTCCATATTATATGTAAAATTAGATATATTTTAGTTTTTTTCTGCTTAGGGAGAAGTTAAACTCGGTAATTCCCCTTAGTACACAAGTCTAAAGAAGATAATAAAGACCCAAATAATACCATTCAATTATATTATATTTTCATTTTATATTAATTTCACACAAAATATTTTTTGCTATTAAGTATAGTAAATATAGTGAAACAGAGGCATATTTCGAGGGAGCACCGGGAATTAATAACCGGGGCATAAGTCCACAAAAATGTTTGCTTAATCTGTTTTTTTTTCATAATCAATAATACTTCTTAAGATGGAATCTCATTAAAACTAAATGATATAAATGATTTCATTCATATACTTTAATATATAACATAGAAATGAAAAAAGTAAGTACCATTACCAAGTAATTATAAATTTTTACATTAAGTTATTTTTAAGTAATTTGTAATTTATTTCAATTTTATTAAAAAAAAAAATCATTTACTCAACACAGCTAATTTTATATCATGATTCATATATTCACTTGAGCCTTGTAGATTTCTTTCACTTTTTACACGATTTGATTATTTAATTACTTGCGTTGATTTGTGGTACTATTATGAAATGGTTGAGGTAGCCAGAGGGATGAAAAAATGAGTTTTCAAATATTTTAGTTTCGATGCGAAGCCTAGAAGATATTGGTATTGTGATAGTGTATGTATTTTTACGTTTGTCGGTGGAAATTCTCGCTTATTACTGGTTCGACTTTAATAATCAATGTTAAAAAAACCTGATTTAAACGTAGATGAACTTATCTACTATGAAAAATTGAAAAAATCCCTAATATTTTTAAATTAAAATTTTTAGTAGTTTTAATATATGATAAACATTGAACTGTGACATTTGTTAATATAGTATCACAAAGGGCACATTTTAGTAATCTAGACCTCCCAACAAAATTATCAAGTAATAAATATTTTTGAGTAAGAGACCAAAAAAAAAAAAAATTACATCACTAGTTTGTTGACTTCGTCATCGAATAGCGTGCTTTAAAAACAACTAATGTGATCCCGATTACTTAAGACCCTCAAGTGTCTGTAAAATACCATTTTTATATTCGAATTAATTTTTTTAATCACTTTCCATATAATATTTGTATCGTCATCAAAGACACTAAGTAAGTCAATTTTAAATTTTTTGTAATGAATAACTATAATTACACACGGTTCAAATTTATATGCTTCAGATTATCGCAGGTTTTTATTATACATATACTTTAGAGCTCTAAGCAGATTCTGACTATTCAAATCCTCAAACGCACACTCCGATAAGAGAAAAGAAATCCTGTTTTCTTTATTAGCATCTCAATCACTAAAGTCGCATGCGTTATACTCAGTAGAGCTATCCCCGACACAACATCGCTGACTACTCCCCTTTATTTATCCCTTTTTGCATTTCATCTTACATCCATATTATACTTTATTGAATAACTATACACTAGTAAGGATTTTATAATTTTTTTTATGTTTTATAGCAATTATGTCAATTAAAAGTGATGCGTAAACAATATATAAAATTTTTTGAATACTGGTAATTGATGCTCTCGATGTAATAAATTTTTTTTTATATAAAAGAAATGCCATTTGTTCTTTATATATGACGTTTAAAATTTTCTGCAGGAGGGGTTATTATTCTTTGACATCTCCAAATACGCCATTGGTAATTTTTTCCTTCTGAAGCCAAGTGAAAAAGATGTAAAAGTTGTGTCAAAATTAGGACATTATACTGTTACAAAATTTTTTGACGACTTCGATAAAATAACTGAATAAAAAACTAATAATCTTTAATAAATACTCTCTGAGGTCAAATTATCAAAAGTTAAATTAAATAAATTATCAATTTATAGTTTTATAACATTGAAAGGAGAATTCAAAGAAAACGACGATTTTTTACCTTAAAAATAGAATTTATTTATATGTGATTTGTAACAACAAATGTCACAACAACTATTCGGTGATATTTCAGTTTTGATAATAAGAAGTGCTACTTTATTTTATTTTCATAAATTAGGCGAAACTGGTAAATTAGAAATTTACCATAATTACTTTTATCATGATTTAGTATATGTATTTACATATTAATATGAGTCCTAATTATAAATTTACACGGGTACTAAGTATACCCGCCGTGTTACAAGACCACTTTATCTATTAAAGTGCTTGTGAATGCTTAAAATAAGTGATAACATGACGCATAAATACATGAGTAGATATATTAGTTATTTGAACAGCTTGAGGATTTATCCATGTTTGCAGTTGATTGCTGACGTTTCGAACTCATTGCAGCTTCGGAGCGATAGTTACTGCTCGATGGCTGAAACTATAGTGGCGGCTTATCTTGTTATCAGTCTGTTTTTTTACGTTGGTTGTTTATCATATCAGTTGTTTACCGTATCGGTTGTTTTTCATATCTGTTTATGACTCATGTTATTTACGGTATCTTGTTTTTGCTGATGTTTTTGTTGACGATTTTGTTTTTGATTATTGTTGTTGTTTTTGATATTCTTGGCATTTTGGTCTTCCTTTTCTGCACCGACAATTTTCCATTACGTTGATAGTAACTTTTTCTTGTATTGACTGTTTGCCAAAATATCAACAAGGCAATCAGAAAAGCAGAGAAAAGAAAAAACACAACACGCAATGACGATGAAGGAAACAAAGAAGATGAAAAGAAAGGAACTTTAATACTACCGTACATACAGGGAATCACTGACAGCATTTCAAGAATCACACAAAAACTTAAACTAAGAACTGTTTTTAAACCGAACAGTCGCAGGATCACTACTCCGGAACCCGAAAGACAAGCTACCAGAAGTGCAGACACCCGGAGTATATGAAATAACGTGCTCTTGTGGTAAATCCTACATTGGACAAACAGGAAGAGCTATTGCAACAAGAATAAAAGAACACGAAAAAGACGTGGATTACCAAAGGACAGAAAAATCCGCAGTAGCCGAACACGCTAAAAACAAAGGACATGACATCCAATTCGATAAAGTAAAAATACTAAACAAAGAAACTCATTTTGGCAAACGAATCTACAAAGTGGCAATAGAAATCGAAAAATGTCCAGAGAATTTCAACAGATATGACGGATGGAAAATAAGCAAAACTTGGTTACCCATCATACACCAGACAAAAATAAAATCAACTAACAACACTGAAAACAGTTCAATACAAGAAAAAGTTACTATCAACGTAATGGAAAATTGTCGGTGCAGAAAAGGAAGACCAAAATGCCAAGAATATCAAAAACAACAACAATAATCAAAAACAAAGTCGTCAACAAAAACATCAGCAAAAACAAGATACCGTAAATAACATGAGTCATAAACAGATATGATAAACAACCGATACGGTAAACAACTGATATGATAAACAACCGATACGGTAAACAACTGATATGATAAACAACCGATACGGTAAACAACTGATATGATAAACAACCAACGTATAAAAACAGACTGACAACAAGATAAGCCGCCAGTATAGTTTCAGTCATCGAGCAGTAACTATCGCTCCGAAGCTGCAATGAGTTCGAAACGTCAGCAATCAACTGCAAATATGGATAAATCCTCAAGCTTTTCAAATAATATGACAATCCATGAAAGTTTCAACACATTCAGATATATTAGTATTAAGAAATATGGCTATTTTTAATTTTAATAATAATAATAAAGGTTACATAAGTATAGGAATAGTTTCAATGAAGAAGTGGCGAACCGGTCCGATGGTTCTCGTCACCTGACGTAGTGCAATATGTGGGATGAGAGAGGGTAGCTGTGTTACAGCTATCCAATGATAAAACTGGAATCATGATGACGTTGAATAGTTATCGTCACATTAATAATTTTTGTCAATAGAGAGCTAATAAATATAGTTAAAAAACTAAAAAAACATTCCTTTAAACTATATTTATTTTTACTTTTTAGTTTTTTATAACATCACTATTAGAGTCACGGAGTGTTTATTATCAATTATGACTATCAATAGATATAATTTTTGTAGTGGCAGTTAGTGTATTTATAATTCACAACTGTATTTTATTACTATTGATAATAAAGGCTATATACCTGCGAATATCGTCATAAAAAAATTATACAGAATTGTTGTCGTCGTGTGGTGAGCAAGGTGAGGTGAATGCGTTACGGCAGTCTAGTCTTAAGGTCATAGACAACGGGATACGCGAGAATAATAACACGTGGGGCGTGGAGAGTTATAAACTTACAACAAACATACACGTGAAACTAATGTAAGTGTGTTAAAAACTGTTTTTTTGAAATGTTGAAAAAATTTAAAACTAAAAATATTTTTTTAGAGTTGACAGTTAAATCTGTTTCACCAATATATTAAGGTAGTTCACAAATTCAAAGAGTACCCTCGCATTTTTTTTTTTAAGTATCATGAAAAAATAATTATTTGAAAATTCGAACCTTCAAGCTCAACCTCTTCTCGTACTGCATTGGAATAAAATTCGATCAATAAGAATAGTTTCTGTACTTTTTTCACTTATCGAATAAACAATCAATCTTACAAAAAATATCACAAAATATAAAAAAAATTAAAACATATAATCTATAAAAAGAATAATTAAAATTTTTTTTCGTAAATCCATTATTTAATACGTTAACAGTTTAAAATTAAAATATATATTTTATATTTTGTTATATTTATGATTTGAGACGATTAGTTATTAGTTATATCCTTCATCCCCATTGATATAGTATTTGTTTTTAGAATAATACATATTCTTATTTGTTGTGTTATTTATTATCTTGCTTTTTTACTAATATAAGTACCAATTTCAAACTCTATCGGTTTATACATTTATCCATGTGTATTAGCTTTATTCTATAACTACAAAACTGAACCTCACACATAATTAAGCTTATTACCAGATGGACGATTGTGTAAAATATGAGTTTAACATATATACTGTTATTATACATGTTGAATTAATTATTGAATACCACAATAACTTACTTAATGTCACTTTTGTGTTAACTGCTATTCAATAGAATACAATTTTCACTTACCTAAAAAAGTTTAAGTCCACATTATAAGATTGTCAGCACAAAAAAAGAATTTCAGCTGTCTTGAAATGTTTTCATTTCAGTACTTTATATAGGTGCGATTCTTCAACTATTAATTTATTAATTAACTTTATGTCATATTTTGTAGGTAGTACGGTTAATTTATTTCCAAATTCAAATCAGATAATTCTCAAATTATCAAAAGAGATTGAAGAGTTAGACTACTTAAATTCAAAAAGTGATATTGAATTAAAACTTAAATCAAATGAAATAGTAAAGTTAAATGAAGAAGTGGAAAACTTAAAAAATTATCTGAGTATAGAAAAAAATCTATCTTCAAATCTAGAAAAAGAAAAAGTAGAGTTAAAATTACGAGTAATTACTTATGTTAAATGTAATGAAGAGCTACGGGAACGTATTAGAGAAGTTGAAATTGAAAAAGAAGAAAAACAAAAAATAATTGATTGTAATCAAAGAAAGTTGGATAACTTGAAGAACTTAAATGATCAGGTAAATATATAACTATTAAACCTTTTTTTTGATAATATTTTAAATTTATGTTGGATATTATAGCTATAAATTCTATAAAATATTTATATACTGTTATAAACTATATGTATACATATAATATATCCTCCTTATAATTATAAAAATATGCTTTCATATTTTTATGTTATTTCCATAAGAATTCATTCTTATTAAGTAAAAGTAATTTAATTTATTTAATATTTAAATGATTACTTGTTAAATTATTATTTACTAATATAAAATTATTATTTTTTGAAAATTAGTGATAAACTAAGTATGTGATTATTTTTTAATTTTTGTATTCGATTTTGGTTTAGTTTATTAATTTACTGTAAAATTCATAAGTTTTTTTATGCGGAAGGAAAATACTATTATTTAAAAAAATTCAATTTCATAATGTTATTACAAAATCATAAATAATTTCAAAGAAAAAATTAAGGGCTCAGAATATAACTCAGTTGTTGTAATGAATTTAAAAATTTTTAATATTCATTAAATAGGCATTTATTACATTCATTCGGTTTGAGTAAGTTTTACAACGCTCAGTACCATTAGCCTCAAGAAATAACACAAACATAATAAACTTAACAAATTAGATACAATATAAAATAATTTTATTTTTCTATCATACTATTACTGTGTAAATGATAAATGAATTAAAAATATATAATCTAAACATGAATTTAATAAATAATTATTTTTATAATTAAATATCATATATTTATATTACATTATAACAATACAAGATGTTTTTTAACGATAGTCAATAAATTATCCTTAAAATAATAAGTTTTTAAACAAATTTTTTTTAGATTTTGTTAATTACATATGTATATCTATATACATGTTATAAAATAATTTTTAAGACCATCCCTTATGTCTTACAAGGGTATCGACTTTATTTTTTTAATACATGACTTTGGTTGTATAGTTTAATGATTATATACATATTAAACTAGTTTATAATATAGAAAATTATTTAATTAAAAAAATGACTGGTTGATAACAACTTTTAGACCGATGCTTCGGAATATATTCTAATTTTTGTACCTAGGCGCCAGGAGAAGTGCAGCGAGAAAATGACTAATGATAAAAATAGTAGTATCTGCGTTTCACCTTCAGTACTATACTTTAAAATGTTAATGATTTCTAAAACATTGGTCCACAAGTTATTATCGATAGTAATTTTTTTTTATTAGATAATTTTCTACATTATTAACTATTTTAATATGTATGTTGCTGTTAAAAAAATATAGTAGACACTTCCAAGTAATAAGGGATGATTCTTAAAAATAATTCTTAATTGATAAATTAAGAAATATATGCATCTAAAATAAATCAAAAATATTTTTTTCAATATTATATATATATTGCGAGTAATAGAGTATTTTATGTTAAACTGATCTATCTGTACACATAAAGTACCGTAGAAAAGAAACAATTAGATTCGACCTGATAGTAGCTGTTAATGTTCAATGACGTTGTGCTGTAAACCATTCTCCACGTCGTACATTGATAATCAAGTGGACAAAACACGTGACCAACACGCAATATCAATTATATTTGGACAATTAGCAAATCTCCCGAGCTAATGTGATGGAATAACTATAATCATCGTCTATTAATGGCAATGACTTTTCGTTGAAGCCACTTCTCTCTGTTTGACGCCAAATTCTTCAATAAAACAAATAATTCACAGTTCATGAGTTCTAGGATATTTTCAAAATATTGTTTCCTCGGGTGTCCTCTTGGTTTCTTCCCAGCTATTTTTCCTTCGAAAATGTTGATTATAAAGTCATTGTGTCAGATGATGTGTCCAATTAACTTTATTTTTCTTGATTCAAATGCATTACTATATGATGTAAAATAATATCCGACGTATTGTATAATATCTGTCGGAATATACTAAGTCACACATCACAACACTCGTCCGCGAACTCTCCCGCTCAATGTATATAAAAAACATTTAATTATTAAATCATTTATAATATCAGATTGAGTTTGCTATTTCACTGACATCGGTACACCTATAGCGAATATAGCAGGTCAACAGTGTAAGAATATTTATTACTATGTTCTTACCACTTATATTACACACGTTTTATTTCCATTTACTTAATTCGTAATACATATTAATTAGCATAGAGGGAGATGCTGATGTGACAATTCTACTCGTCTGTAGCCCGGAGCTACTGATGTCGAACTAACAAAGGGCAGTTGTGTTTGAGTGGCCGTTATAGACATAGTTTTCAATACTCTTACTTTCGTCTTATTTATAACTTAACTTGTTTTATTCAACGACCCGTCTATTGCCAATTGTCATCATAGCCAACCAACTCCGTCTCATTGGATATACCTACTAACCAACTGTACTAGGATTCAAGTCAGACGTATTGTACATTACATATAACTTACTTATATTTACTGAACATCTAAAATATAACTTTACTTTGTCCTTGACATAAAACAATAGTCTAATTTTATTTAATAATCTATCCCCTGTAACTCTAAGGTACACGATTGCCTGTGTCTCCTTCAGATAATTAAAACTCATTTAAGATGATAGGAACTATAATNGAGGGAGATGCTGATGTGACAATTCTACTCGTCTGTAGCCCGGAGCTACTGATGTCGAACTAACAAAGGGCAGTTGTGTTTGAGTGGCCGTTATAGACATAGTTTTCAATACTCTTAATAATCAGACGTAACGCGCAACCGAAACACATTCGTTTCACACACGTGTTAACTAGTGATGGGCATTTTCGAATATTTCAAATTATTGCATAGAACTCCATAGTTTTTTAAATCTATTCGAAAAGTTATTCGAATTTTTTTATGTAACCGAATAGTTTTAGCATAAACGATCAAATATTTAAAAAAATATCGAATAGTTTTTTAAACTATTAACTGTGCTGATTCGCACAGTTGTCGGGTGGTAAACAATTGCATTCATATATCATGATTAGTTATGTATATTTATAAATATTCGACACTGACAATAAATTAAATTATCTATTTTATTGAAAGAATTTTTAAAATGTAAGAAATTAATAAATTATACTTTTAATTATTAATAATCTTCAATATTATTATCATATAAATTATACATAAAATTTATTCTGCGAGTGATTGACATAAACAGATAACTTTTAAGTTTCAGACTACAGCTTTCATAGACAATTTTTTCAAATACATCCATATACACCATGTCTTATTGATATATTAACAATATAATATAAATTAATTTTATAAAAAATAAAAATACCAATTTGTTTTTTTTATTTTAGATAATAATTGAAAATAAAAAACTCAATGAAGTCTATTCAAAAAGTGATATTGAGTTAAAACTTAAATCGAAAAAAATAGTAAAATTAAATGAGGAAGGGAAAAACTAAAAAAATTATCTGAGTATAGAAAAAAATCTATCTTCAAATCTAGAAAAAGAAAAAGTAGAGTTAAAATTACGAGTAAGTACTCATATTAAATGTAATGAAGAACTACAGGAACGCATTAGAGAAGTTGAAATTGAAAAAGAAGAAAATCAAAAAATAATTTATTGTAATCAAAGAAAGTTGGATAACTTGAAGAACTTAAATGATCAGGTAAATATATAACTATTAAACCTTTTTTTTGATAATATTTTAAATTTATGTTGGATATTATAATTATAAATTCCATAAAATATTTATATACCCTTAAAGTCATTAATATAATAAGTAATTTAACTAAAATTTGATTTTGGGACTTCTGAAAGTATATTATAATACGCAGTGAAGATTTTTACTTGAAAACCAGTTTAAACTTATGAATTATTACTGAATATTCTATAATACACATTTCCAAAATACAATAAAATACAATCATATAATACAACATAAAAATACCAATTTGTTTTTTATTTTAGATAATAATTGAAAATAAAAAAATCAAAGAAGTTAATTCAAAATTAGAAAATAATTATAAACTACAAAAAACAGAAGACAACTTGATTGTTCTCAAATTATCAAAAAAGATTCAAGAGTTAAAATATTTAAATTCAAAAATTAATATTGAGTTAAAAATGAAATCGAATGAAATCATAAAATTAATTGAAAAAAAGCAAGGATTAGATGGTTAGTATCACTACTGGTTATTTAATCATTAATCGCAATACTTAAAAATTGTTAATCATTTTTTGTTTTGTTTTGTTTTTGTATTTGGTCATTTAATCAATTAAAGTGTATTAAATTTTTTTTTAGACTTCAAAAAAAATAAGGAACTTTCAATAAATAATGACGTGGTTAATATCCAAGATTTGCACGAAAAAATAAATACTCAAATTAAAATAATTAGTGATTTAGAAAACAAGTATGAAAGATATAAGATGTATGTAAACTGGTAAGTTTAACTTTTTAAATGGTATTAATAACAATCAAGTTTTAGCATAGTTGGTAATTACCATATATATTAATAATATTCATAAGTATTTAGAGAAACATTTTGCAAGGCCATTGTACTATTTCATATATCATGAATTTTTTATGATGGTATTTTTTGTTATTGTTTTGGTTTGCGAATTGCTTCAATATTTTCCATATTATATTTCCATACTCTTTTTTAAATTTTCTTTAAAAATTTTTTAAAAATTAAAAGTGACTTGGAAAACTTACGGATCAAACTAAAAAAAAAGTGTGATCCATCGCGGAACATTCCGTAGATGTGAAACATCAAAACGATTTTATACATAAATATGCATGAAAGCATAGCTTTTTTGTAGATCAAGTGGTCTGGCAGTTAGGTTTTCAATTTTTACTTTTGTCCTGTTCAAAGAATCAGTCTTTCCAGTCATCACTCTCGTTTTTCCATTAAGTACAGATACCTTTTAATGGCTGCTTAATTTCTACTTTGGCCCTGGCAATCGAGCTATGGTGAACACTCATTTCTTGGCCATGGCCTGGACATTGTTATATTATAATTTTGGTAACTTTGTACAACATTCCCGTCTTTCTTTATTTCGTCCATTTCGTTGTTCCTCTATTCGTGCATTTTCACGAGGTTTCTTTGAAAATAACTTTAATGACAATACTATACTTTAATTATTTTAACATGATTCTATGAATGTGTTAAAGCTTTCATGGATTGTCTTGTTGCTTGAAATGCTTGAGGATATATCCATGTTTGCAATTGAGTTCTGACGTTTCGGACTCATTGCAGAGTCCATCTTCAGAATGATGATTGCTAGTCGGTGGCTGCAACTATGATTATTCTATTTTATCCAATCTTTTGACACATTTTGCTTATTGACTATTCGTAATTGTTTATTGTAAAATATTGTTTTCTTTAGTACGTTAATTATTTTTTTCATGTCGAGTGTCAAAAAACCTTAGGTATATTGACCAATCTAGACGTGCTTAGCAGTCTCAAGGCTTGTTATAAAAAGCCTACATCCATATTGACCGATGTCAAATTGTCAGTTTGAGCATTATTGCAATGATAACCATTTTATTAAATTAACTATTACTAAATACCCTCTTAACCCTTGGTTCAATCGTACATAGTCAATGCAGCAATGTCAGAAAATATTTTTTCTTACTCACGCCTATTTTTTCCTTATTTTATTTTATTATGTTAATAATTATTTAAAGAGAGATCATTGAGTGAGAAGTGAGTCCGCCACACTTGATTATAGTCGCCATATTAACAGATTTGGTCTAATGATTAGTGTTTCCCAGCAGGTGGTCCGCGAGCCAGTCATAGGGGATCCGCGGTCCCATAGATTTTTTCTTCGATTTTTCACAAAAATCACATTAAGTAAATTATTTTGTATAGTAAAGTATAATTATATATTAGTTAAGTATAGTAATAAAATGTAAAGTAATGTAATAATAAATATAGTTTTAAAAAACTAAAAAAACACGCTTTTAAAGCACATCGAACTAAAAAGTTAAAAATAATTTTTTAAATAATTATGAATAAAAAATACTAGTATTATTGTGATAAAAGTGTGGGGCGCTCAATATACGAAAAACATGGCACAAAGAACCATGATGGGGTGAATGCGTTATGACAGTCTAGTCTCAAGGCCCTAGACGACGGAATATGCGATAACGCGTGGCGCTTGGAGAGTTACAAACATACATACATATATACATACAGGTGAAACTAATATAAGCGTGTTAAAAATTAACATTCTTTGATAAATTTCGTTTATTCTTGTTGATGAGCAAAAAAAGTTCTTCCTAGTTTTCGTAAAATTGAGGGGGTCCGCGACCTATAAAATATTGCCGAAGTGGTCCGTGGTGGTAAAAAGGTTGGGAAACACTCAAACATTAGACTCTAATCCATCACATTACATTAAATGTTTTATATCAAAAATATTTTTTTTACCTCTACCTTTGATCAAATAGATTGATTTTTAAGGAAATTTATTAATTTTAAAATGTACAATTATAACAGATTCGCATCAAAGCGTTTATTGATGGATTATGCTAATCATAATTATAATATATATTATATCATCTTTATTTGTACCAACTATGCCGCGTCCTCATTGTATTGGTTTTATTGAATTTGAATTTGTATTTAATAAATGAAATATTTTTACAGTATCTTGAAAATGTAAAGGGAACATCACAATTTAAAATTATGTTAAGACGTCAAATTTATAATCTTAATAGAGATCTTTTAAACACGAAAAAATTATATAAGTATGAGCATTTATACATTTAATACTATTTAATAATATTTTTGTTTATTTAACACTTCATCATTTTTGTATTGTTTTATAGAAATAATAAAAAGATGTGATACGACCACACATATGTGATCATATCCCACATTATTATTATAACGCCAACGAGGCTTATATTGTTGATACAGTTTCATACAAAAATACTAACAGGAGAGTTGACTGCACACATAAGCACTTTTGGGATTCACGACCACCGTGCCATAATACGAATGTCTCGATCATTAATTGACTTATTACCATCATTGCGACAATTACTCTTTGTCTTATATTTAACTTAATTTACCTACCACGTAAATAGTGTGTGTGTGCGTCGCCGTCAGCTCCCTGTTGGATTATATCATCTCTAAGTGTTAAGCAGATTGTACTATTTATTTAATATTTTTTTGCTTAATAAATATTTATATCATAGTTAACCGAGAGTGTTATATATATATATATATATATATATATATATATTGTAGTGAATAATAAATTAAATAGGAATCCTCAGTACCTAAGGTAGATATAGCCTAGCCAGCTATCCCCCGTTGGTCCCTTAGAATACTGTTGACGGGCATTTAGGCTCAACCCTAAAATAGCGACGTAACAATTGATGGAGGCGCCAATCTCTCTGTTTTATTTTAAACTTTCAGTGACGGATTTCTCCTAAGTGTACTACAATTTTTATATATCGCTCTTTAGTGGTTAACTTAGGTGTTTTCTGATTCTCGACCTACATTTATAGTAACAATTGCATATTTTTAATATAATTTTAAGATACGTTTTTATTTGATTTTATACTATCGTCCAACATATATAACATATGCCTCTCTACAATTATTATCTGAAACTTAGTTAAAATAATCAAATAATTAGACTTTTGCAAAAAGCGTGGGGTTTATTAGGCTTCACAACTGATATTTTAGAACTTACACCAAAACAGGTAATTACATCTCTGGAAAAAAAGAAATCTGTTACTCCCTCAAAGGCTTTCAAAACGTGTAGGAATATCAAATTCCAGTTGGAGCAATTTTAATTTTTGAACACTCGCTTTTCGAAATTTGTAAGCGCGAAAGTACGCGTCAGTTACTCCTGAAACAATTTCAGAAAATTGCAAAATAATACATTAAATTTAAAGCATAGCATAATTCTTTGATCGACAGACAAAATAAATATACTTTGAATATTTCCGAACTAGAACTTGAACAGTCACTACAGCAACATTTCGTTATTTTAAACCTAATCGTTTCAGAATTTAACTTAAAAACAAACGACCTCATTTCAGCAATATCCATGCTGTGCCATGGCCAAATACAGCCAAACGTGCTAGACCCTGTTACCTTAATTTCTCAATTACAGTTTATAGAATGAAATCTTCCAAATAATAAGCAATTGCCAATACAAATTAAAGACATTAATAATATTTTTGATTTAGTCAATCTCACGAAATTGTTGATCGCGTTTGTAGAAAACAAATTAATTTATACAATTTTGATATTCATATGCGATATAGTAAAGTATAACTTATTCCAAACAGTTTCTCTACTTATATATATCGCTAAATATCAATTTTTCCTAATCCAGTCGACTTATCAATTTATAGCCGTTTCCACAGACAACGAAACTTTCATTCCATTTTCGGAAAAAACTTGATCGATTCTCACGCAAATAAATTTCTTTCAATTTGCGAATTTCCACTGATATCAAACCGAAAACGCCTAACCAACTGTGAAACGCTTATTTATATAAACCCACATTACTCCCGAAATATGTAATATCAAACACATTTCCTCTAAATTCGAAACCTTCTATAAATTACACTCATATAATGCGTGGATTTATATGACACCTGATTCTATTGAAATAACTATATTATATGGTAAAAATTGATGTACGGAAGAGTTAATAAAAACGGGAATTTCATCACTAAACGCGGGTTATTTAGTTCATACACTGAACAATATTTTAGCTACACATACATTGGTTAAACAATCTTTCCAAGCAAATTTCGTACCCAATTAATATTATCAAATAATAGTTTGTTTTTACCAAAGTTTAATAAGATCAATAATTCACTGGTTATCATAAAACCCAACATAGTCCTGATTGATTTGGGATTACATGAATTAGGGAAATATTCAGAAAACTTAGATGACGTTGTTAAAAGTATCGAGGCCACAGAAAAAACGATAGAATTCGTGAACGCAATTAAAAATAATCAAATAATTTTCCTTATTATCTTGTTTCTTGTCGGATATGCGCTTTATAAGTTGTGGCGAGATATATTAGGGGCAAATGTAGGCGTCCCTCCCACACGTAGCCTCTAGCGGTTTATTTTACGCGCGGTGAACGATACATTCGCTAAAATCCTAACCGCTTATTTTCCCACCATTTTGTATAATTTGAATTTAGATTTTAACCAAATATGATATCTATTTTAAATATTCATAAAACACATTATAATATCTATAAACACATTTATCAACGGTAAACTCCTCCTCGTCGATTGTTCCATCGAAGAATTCTTTTACTCCTCGAGTGGGGCGTTCCACCACCTCGCCAGCAGCAACTTCGAAAACCCACGTAGTATGTTTAGGGGAGTAGCCACATTATTTACCAATCACTTCGATAAGTCAACTAATTTCAGAGTACTCGTGTCTTAGCCTTCGTCTGTATCTCTTGCCTAGGTGTTATCCTTTTCCTCTTCTTACAATAACAGCCTTTTGACACTCGCAGCAAAACTGGAGTGTCAGTGCAACACAGTAACTGCTGTACGTCCACACATGCATGAAGGTCTACGCGGAATCGTCATCATCTTCGTACATCTCATTCTAAATTCCCTTAGTGGATTTGTTTTATATTATGACAATATACTGCCAACAGCGCCGCCGACACCTCCACTACCACTTTTGCTGACGCTATTGATATCACTGTTGTATCATTGAAACACGTACAATAGTAGCCAGTATATTAGTATATTAGTTGAATAAAATATTTAAATAGATTTTATTAAAGACAATAAAACTTTTCTGAATTTTTGATAACTTAAACCTATTAGTCTTACCCATTTTTATGCCTCTTATTAGATAATTAATTACCATTGGATCCTTACTCATAATATAATTGTAAAGAATATTTCTTAAATAATTTATGGTGACATCCCATTTGTTACGTCGCTATTTCAGGGTTGAGCCTAAATGCCCGTCAACAGTATTCTAAGGGACCAACGGGGGATAGCTGGCTAGGCTATATCTACCTTAGGTACTGAGGATTCCTATTTAATTTATTATCCACTACAATATATATATATATATATAACACTCTCGGTTAACTATGATATAAATATTTATTAAGCAAAAAAATATTAAATAAATAGTACAATCTGCTTAACACTTAGAAATGATATAATCCAACAAGGAGCTGACGGCGACGCACACACACACTATTTACGTGGTAGGTAAATTAAGTTAAATATAAGACAAAGAGTAATTGTCGCAATGATGGTAATAAGTCAATTAATGATCGAGACATTCGTATTATGGCACGGTGGCCGTGAATCCCAAAAGTGCTTATGTGTACAGTCAACTCTCCTGTTAGTATTGTTGTATGAAACTGTATCATCGATATAAGCCTAGTCGGTGCATTATAGGAGAAATAGCTATTTTAAGCGGACAAAATTCGTAAAATTAATTTTGTTTTGACGCCTTTCGGGTAATTTATTACTTCAGTTGATAACATATACATATATAAAATATCATCACTGTACTTAATATTTAAGTAATTTTGATAAAACTAAGCTATTATTTAATGTAGACTACGATTGTTCCCACTGTACTAAACACGTGTTGTAAAATCGTTGATATTTGTTCTCTGAATTAATTACACTGTTAATTTTATTTTTTCAAATTTTTATAAATATTTTAATATAAATGAAAATGAGTTCAAATCAACAAGGTACGACTTTTAAATTAATTTATTACAGGTTTTTATTGAAAATCTTAATAAGAACGTTTTATAAAAAATATTGCAATTTTTTTATTTTTTTATAGTGCGCCAAAAAAAGGGGGTTTGGGGAGGCACAATCCTTTCATAAAATAATTTCAAAATACGTACATACAAAAAAAAAAAAAAATTCGTGCGCTATTATTTGCTATTCAAGTTATAATTATAATTTTTCTGATTAAAATCGTTATTTATGAAAGTGAATCAGTCATTTAGATTAAAAATTTATGCATGGAGCTGGTTTCAAGTTTCATCATTGTATAGAATTTGTTGTAAACTTTTGCCCAACTAAATTTATTTAAATAAGAGAATATAGCCTGCTATTTAAGCAGGGGGTTTATGGGGCTATGACAATATTATTATAACTATATAATACTATACAGAGTGATTCTTTTATCATTGGCTACCTGATTAATCGAAAAGTTAATGTAATATTGAAAATTTTCAAAAAATATTTATTTATATAATAGAACTATTTTAACAAAATTAATAGTAATTTTATTCAATTAAATTTCTTATAGAAAATTTATTAAAAAACTATGATTTATTCAAAGTATTGAAAAACGAAAACAAAACTATAGTAAAGCCTTGTTCAACTGAAGCAAAACAACTTATTTTCAATTTTGTTATTTCTAAAATTCCCAATTGGGAAGTTTTAGATGAATCAAAAGATGATATTTTAAAAGGTAAAATATCTGGTTATTATAGCACATTAGACAAAAAATGGATTGCTGCTAAGAGAATATTTGATTATTTTATTCAGAAAAATGAAAATTGGTTGAATTTATATTTTAATTTTCCTCCGTCACCTTATTATGTTGTGCAATTTTTTCTACTTATTGTGTTGGTTGACCTATAAAATTTTTTTCCGAGAGTAGCGATTAAACAAAAAGGCGAAAAATTGAGTCTTTATTAACAGAGAATTCGAATAAAGAAATTGTTTATGTCACTAAAACTATTTTATATCAAATAGGAAATCACACTGAGACAGATCTTTTAAGACAAACAACACAATCTTCACCAACTAGCTTTTTTATGATAATGATTATAATCACCGACAGATTAAATCTATTCTGGGTCCAACTATGTCACGTCCATACTGTGCCACGACTTCACTGTACTACCGTTGTTAATTATTTATATCTATATATTACGACAAATGGTATAGTCATATATGAAATGGGTAAATATATCATTAAATAACCTCGCTTACAAAAAATAAAAAGATTTAAATGTTATAAATATTTTTAGCTTTTAATGTCAATGCAATAACAATATTAAAAAGCTCTTTCCAAAAAAAATGTTCTAGTATCAATGGTTTAGAATAAGCTACAACCTATACTCAACTACTACACCGCGACCCAACTGAGCTGGGTTTTATTTTAAACTTACAGACAGACATAAAAAACCCATCATAATAAAACTAATATCTTTTCAGATTCGCAACGAAATTAAAAAAAAAAATTATCATAACATCATTTTCGTAAATTACATCCACTGATATATCACTGATTTAGTGGCAAGAAAGTAGAGTAGAGAATGTGTGTAGCAGAGATGAGAAGGCTTGAATGAATGGATGGAGTGACCAGAGAAAATAAGATAAACAATGAATATATAAAAGGAAGTATAGATGTAACGTAGATAAGATGAGAAAAATAGACTTCAGTGGTTTAATCATATTATGAGAGAGAAATCAGAAGTTGTAAAAATGGTTATTGAAATGAACGTTGAAGGAAGAATATAAAATAAAAGGCAATTATATGTAATTTGGCGTGATATGAAGACTATTGACGTGCGTGTAGATTATGTGGGTGATCGTATCAAATGGAGGTTTAGGATACGGGGATCGATTCTAAGTAGTTTAGATAAAGGCGATGGTGAAAAAGGAGAATAACAACTATCCAAGTGACTGATTAAAAATTAGTCTTATGATAGTAGTATTCATGAGTTGATTGTTTAATTGGTATAACTGGCATGATTAGATTAAATTTTGATTATGTATCAAACGGTAACGAATTTTTATAAGCAAGTGCAATAGCGTAACTAGGATATTTGATTGGGGGGATAAAGATTTTTTTTGGGGTGTTAACATTAATAATTGACCAGTGGTAGAATCTATAGCCCTCATTCTCTAACTGTGCCACTGAGCATGTGATAATAGAACATATTACACGATATTTAATAACTTTATATTCTACAGTACTACCAGTATATATATTTTAGCAATAAAAAAAAGATAATATCATACTTAGATAAAATGATTTTTGATGAGTAATAAAATAAATGTTATCATGTTCAAATATCCAGTATAAGCAGTTACCCCACCTTACCTTACTGTTTAAAATGAAGTGACGTTGTCATACTTTGGAATAACATCCTTTAATTAAACATATTAATTACAAAATGATTTTGTTATCATTTAAAATTTAGTTTTATGATTCAGATAAAAAGAGACTAAATTCAATTAATGATATTCTAACTATGCCAAATGTTATTTTATCTTCAGGATAAACATTTTATATTAATTTCTTTGCAAATTCAGGTTCCTCCATCGATACAAAGCTTACTATTCGTTTATTATAGGATATTTGAATTTTCGTAAATTATTATAATTATTAGCTAATAAATCAAATTTAGTATCTAAAATAATATTGAACAATTTTTTATTTCATAGTTGATTCTTTAAAACAGTGGCAGTTAAATGAAAAGGGTTTAGGGGAATAATGGAGAAATAGAATCTCCTGATTGACATACCTTTTTTGACGATTACCATTATATTATATATTATGGAAACATTATGTATGATAAATTATTGAATGTAATTAATATGTAAAAATGATTAATACTATAAACTTAGGATATTAAATTTTAAGTCTTGCAGGGATGTTATTTGGGGGTTGGCAGCTTGAGATTTTGACCTAGTCTAATTTTTAAAGAAAATTGGGACCAGTCCATTTATATTTTTGTTTATCAGGTCATATTTTGAACAAGCCTAGAAAAATATTCTGCTATGATAATTTTTATATAAAATGTAATATACTGAATTGTTTGGAAATGAAACGCAAGCAGCTTTGTAAAATTATGGGTTAAAAATGATGATTTTTGTCAAAAAATTTTTCATTCTCTTCCATGTCAAAATCATTTTACCGCTATTGCATTGAAAAAACGATATTCTTAATTAAAATACATCGCAAAAAACTTTAATAAAATCCAAAAAAAATTATTACATAAAACCAACATTTTTTTGTTGATTTATTAATAATATTGTTAGGAGACTAAAAAAATAATGAGACGAACAAGTCTGTTATCAATTTAACAAAAATTACGATTCATTTAACAAAATATATTAATGATTCAATAAAAATATGGGTTCTATATTTTTTAGACTAATCTTTAATTAAAGATATTTATATATTTGCAAAAAAAAAAATTCAGAAATCAAATTTAAAACCAAACACAAGTAACTTTCTAATACTAAAAAAAATTATTAGTACAATGAAATTTACTATTGCCCAGGCAACGGTAGAATGCAACTGAGCGACTATTGGGTCTTCTATAATCATTTGGCCGCTGAGTTGTGTTCGTTCGTGGATTGCAGTATAGAAAAATAATGTTTTTCTAAATAACCTTTTTAGTGCTTTAGTAATTAGTTAAAATAATTAAAAAATAATTTCAATCTGTCGTGGTCAACGCTAGTAATATTACTGGTCTATAAATTTGTACTATTGTTCATGAGTAAAATTTGTGATAGTTTGGGAAGGTCCAAGCCTTTGAATGTTTTACATGTTGTTACCAAGCAAGTTATCAAGTTATCGTGTTAGATCTCAATGTTATGGATAAATGTTACATAAATAAATTATATACTTTTAAAAATGTAATATCAAACAAACAGTATTGATATGATGATAATGTATAAATCAACTAAATTGTTTATATATTTACTGTAATACAAAGATGTAATTACATATACTATTTAATCAATAAAAATGTTAAGTTTTTCATTAAACTCCATATATATATATATATTTTCTCTAATAACTACAGTCATTAGCAAATCTACTCAAATAGAATTCAGATATTTTATCATCACATAGATCAACCATACCAAATTTCAAAATATCTGATAAATCATCAATAAATAATTGTCCATGTTGACTTTGACTTAGTTTTCTAACAGCTTTCACTCGTTGGGAGAACTTAGAATTAGATGAAAATAAATATTTTATTATATCAGAACTAACTGTAGATCCAAATTTCAATTGGTAGCCCGTTTCTTTTGACCATTTGTAAATTTCACTACAATTGTCTAATGTCATTATTACACTCATCATCATCATATTTATCTGTTCTGTTAATTCATTTAACATATATCTGTCTGTTACTGTAATTAATTCTAAAAGAACTGCTATATCTTTTGGCAAAACACATTCACAACACACTTCAAGAAGATCAATTAATGACTTAAAACATTCAGAGCTAACATCATTTAAGCGTATAGTTTTTTGATATGCTTCTTTAAAACCTCCACATCGGAACATTGCTTCAAACATTGGAGACTTAAGTGCTAAAAATGACTTGTTTGCATTTACTTGAGTTCCATCATCTAATGCTAACGTAACAGTGGTTTCCTTTTTTATAATTTGTTTGCTGCAGTTATGATTTTCACATTGACTTATTGTTGGTTTAACATACAAAATATTAGAAGTTTTAAATAATGCTACTAATGCCCCAACACTATGATCAAACAATATACTGTCATCATTTTTAAGTAAATTGCATAAATTATCAAAAGTTTTATACCGAAATAACATGGATATTAATTGCCTCCGTTGACTGAAAATAAAATACTGTTAATGTCATAAAACATATAATGCAATGAAAAGCAGTAGTAAATTCAATAATTTTACAAACCTTTGAATAACAAGAGGAATGGTAACTGAGATTAATGATTTTAGCTTATTATTTGATCCTAATGTATCTGCTTCATTCATAATACTTATCATAGCATCTTCAGCAAATTTTGACTCAAAAGAATTTGTTGCATTAGTTATTATTGTAATACCCATTCTATGTCTATTTTCACAATTTTTGCATGATTCAAGGTTGTGTTCAGGTTGGCATAATCTTTGATGTGTAGATAAAATAAAACCTTCTTTAAGAAGACTTTTAAAGTTAAGTATTTCTCTATAAAAATAAATATATATGAATATTACTAATATTATCTAAGGCGATTTTTTTATACTAGTCTTTCAATTTCTCTTAAAATAATAATTTTTGGTGATTTTTTTTTTTTTTATTAGCTACATATGTATCTCTATCTCTTAATAAAATATTTTTATGTTTATTACTTATGTCTTATAGTGGTGACAATTTTATTACTTTAATTAGCAATATACATATTTAACTTATAAAATAGAAAATGGTTTTATTAATCAAATAACTAGTTGATAACATCTTTTGGACCAATATATCAGAAGTTATTAACATTTTTATAGCTAGATAGGAGGAGGAGTGAGGTTAAGAAATGTCTAGTGATAAAGCATAAAGTACCTACTCATCAGATCCAGTCATTATTTTAAATTATTAGTAACTACTGATATACTAGTCCAAAGATATTATCGATCGATCATTTTCTTAAAATAAAGTTGTTACCCCTGTAAGACATAAGGAAGTATATAAAATTAATTTATAACAGATAAATGGAGATATATTTGTAACTAACAAAAATTATTATTTTGAGAGATATTGAGTGACTAGTGTTAAATGAATTATCCTGTATAATTATAAAAAAATACTTACTGAACAATCATTTGAAGTATTTTTAAAGGTTTCTGATGATTAAAGCTATCTTGAATAAACCGAATGTAGTCCAATATTGTTTCCCATACATCTTTAGTAGCCATCATTTTAACAGCATTTTTTAAGTATGATAAATTTGTCAATAAATATATAATAACATTTTCTCCAGTTAGTTTATCAGGAGTATCTATCTCCTTATCTTCCTAATAATCATAATAATAAATTAAAAAGTTAGAAATGATTATGTATAATATAATTTTATTACTTCTATTTCATAATCGCTGATACTTGAATTTGATTCATCTGCATTATTTGATTCTCCATCAAATGATTCACATACAGGTGAATAACATGGTGAGTATGAATTAGTCGCATTTTCAGATATTGGTGGAGTCCAACTTCTAGTAGGTGGACTAGAGGGGCTCATTCCTGATGATCCTGCAGGCGAAGCACAACTAACAAATGATGTACTAGTTTGGGGTTTTATTTTTGATTCAGGTGGACATAAATTTGGCATTTTGTTAGCTTGAATATATGATGATAGATTTTTAATTAGTAAAGAAATTAAACCTTTTTTAACCATTTCCTAAAATTAATATTACACATCTTATTTTAACTAAAATTAAAATATTTAAAATTTTGTAATGCAATATATAAATATATATGTTTAATTTTAATAAAATCAGTTATAACAAATATTTTGAAAAAAATAACATGTTATGTATCCTTATAAAATATAAAATATATTTTATAAAGATACTTGAGTTTTAATTTATATAATCAAGATATAAATATAACAATTGAAGAACGGATTTGTATGCATTTAAAAATTTTATATGAAAGGACCAAGTTTGTGTAACTTAGTTGTAGGAATATATAGTAGCATAGAAATATTTTTTGTTTTGCGGAAATAAACTACCTAATTAACTCAAATTTATACTGCCAGTTTCAGCAAATTACTATGTTTTAAATCAATTAATAATAATTTGTACCAAATTGTGTTCACAAATAATAACAATGTTTATAAGGATTTTCAAATTTGTTCCTTAAACATAAATAATACATACTTCTAATGATCGTGAATCAAATTGAAAGTTAACTAAAGCACTCATAGCTAATTCTTTTTGTACTGGGTTTGAACTAGATATTAAGTCCATAAGAATGGTTAATCCATGACTTGTATGAACTAGTCTTCCACGGTTCAATGGACACTCACACAGAAGACATAATGATACAGTTAAATCTGTAAAAGAATGAAAATAAATTGTATTAAAACATAATAGATTAAAGTATTCTGTTATATTTAATTTGAAATAAATTATATAAATCTAGACTTTATGGTTATTTTTTTAATAGGTACTACATGATTTATTTAAAATATTAAACTGTATAACTTTATGCATAAATACTTACAATGATTGTTTTCATTTTTTAAAAAAGTAACAATATGTTCCATAACACCAGATTGAGCTAATTGAGCTCTTGTTTGAGGCACTTTACTCATTAAATAAATAATTTTACTAACTAATGGATTATTTGGTAATAAATTCATTAAAGTATTCATTGTGTCTACATTAGATTTCCCCAAAATCTAAAAATAGTATATTTTAAAACAATTATTTCATAGTATATGTTTACACTCAAAAATATTTGAACCTGTGATACAACAGACAAATTATTAGATTGATGTTTAAAATTTCCAGCATTTGATAGAAATGATATATGGGCTCTTAAAACAGCTAGCACTAAATCATTATTATCTGATGTTAAGAGTTCTGAAATTATTCCAACAGCTTGATGTTTTAACATTTCTGAACAACCAGTTTTGGATGAATTTTCCCAAATTTTTCTAAACAAAAAGTATATATTTAACCCAACCTGATTTTTTTTTTTTGTCATATACCGTTTAATAAATAAAAGAAATATTGATTTTTTTTATTAATTACATGTTTTTTCTAATTTATCACTCATGAAGTTTTTTTTTATATTTATTCGTTATATCATATAAGGATATTAATTTTTTTCTTCCCTTCCAGATTAAAATATCTTAAAAATAATTTTCTTAAATGGAAATCTCTATTTTTAACTTAATAATACAAAAAATAAAAAGTACAAACTTTTCTGATGGGCTGTTAATTCTTTACAGCATTTTAAATACAATGACTGGGTATGTTGCAAGAGCGGAATACACCTACATCAGTCAAGCTATAACCTTAAATTTATTATGAAATTAATACTGAATAATTTAGTATTGTAAATTTTAAGGAGAAATTATAAAAAATTATTGAGTTGTTATCTATAGGGTGTTATGATACTTTAAAGTTCAAAAAATAAAATATGAAAAAAAATTGTTAAATATTAAAGTGCATGTTTTTTAACTTCAAGAGCCATTTGCACATAGAAGATAAGGTGCTGGGACAAATTTTTTTTTTAACTTATAATACATAACATAAGTTTTAATTAATAATTGACACTCAAAGTATTTCCGTAAATTTGAATCCCCTATGGGTGGTAAGGCGTCAAATTTTCAAAAATTTATAACAATATTTTCAAATATGCAAAAAGCCTTTCTTTATTAATTACACGCTTCTCAATTCATTGAAATTTTAAACTCCCAATTTTTTGAGAATAGCCTAAAAAAGTAAGCAAAAGAACTTCTGAATTATAAATTTACACCAGTACAAGCTATATATACAACCTCAGATTTGTGGCGGAGCTAAGTTCATTTATAAAAAAATTAATAACTGAATTGTAAAAAATATAATATTAATTCTTAAAAAATGTTTATCGGCAATTAAATAGAAGCTTAAAAAAGATATATTAAATAAAAAATAACCTTAAAGCACGAACAGCAGAATATCTAGTTCCATTACACTTAGTTTTAGATAATACACCAACAATAATATTAGGTATATTGTGCTTATAAATAAGTGGTATGTGTTCATGAGAAATTGCAAGATTAGCTACCATTCGGCATGTTCTATTATGAATAGCATCAACATTGATATTTTTTATGATGAACCCTAGGTCTTTAATTATACCACATTCAAATAGCTGAAACATAAAAAATTATTAAATTTTTAAAATAATCAAGAGTTTTAAAGGTCAAGTTTTGATTAAATTTAGTTTAAATTTTTACAAAAATTTCTTAACATTATTTTTTATATAACTTATTATCTATTGAAAATAATTGATGAGCTATAAAATTTCCTAGAATCAATAGCTTATAAAGTTTAGTTTCTAGGAAAAAAACTATATTTATAAATTGAAAATAAAATTATAAAGATATTTTATTATTATAATAAAAAATATGCAGAAAAAATATACCTGTTGCCGACAAATCTCATCCATACTACAATTACCCAGGATGCTAAGAGCCAACGATAATACTTTAGGGTTTACTTGTTTTAAACATTTTACTAATATTTTAATACCCCCATGATCTCTCAATTCATTTATTCCTTCACGTTTATTGCTAATATTAGTACGAATATAACATAAGCTACCACAAATTAGGCCTTTATCAGCAGCTATATCTTTTAATGCTGTTGTAATTGATTCCATGTCTATAAAATTTGAAATTAACTTAATTATTTGATATAAACCACCTTACACAGTACTAAGATGTAATATATTTGTAATAAAATGTTTTTAAATAATAGTTAATTACTAGAAACATAAATAATGAGTTTGTAAATAATTATTTTAAACAATTATAAAAATAAAATATAAAGTTTTTATCATTAATCTGAACTATGCACATACCTATTAATGCTACTATAAGTTTAAGAATTTATTTTTAAATTATACTCCACAAAGTTAAGCATAATACTAAAAATTATTTAATTCAAAACTATTCACATAATACTGAATAATTTTTTTAAATACATTAAAATGTAAATATTTGGGTTTGATATTAAAATAATAAATACGCAACATAAATAAGTATTAAAATAATTTTGAATAATATTCACTAAATTTTTAAATTAAGATTAATGTTAATGCTAAATAACTTAAATTTTAATAAAATTAAGATACTTGACTATTACTTATCATCACGTATCAATAATTATGATACCTCAATGTGATAACAACGAAAAAATGTAATGTAGTTTATCAATTAATTTTTAGTTTAAACAAAACGTAACTAAAGTAAAAATTCTTGATTAATTATTTAAATAAAAAACTTAATGAACAAAATAATAAATCTGAATAGAAATCGTACTTACCAACATTTTTCTCTTATCTAAAATTGTATATAAAAATATATATATATATATATATAAAAATTTTATAGTTAGCCATGATTGTATTTCGTTTCGTCGTTTAGACGGTAAAACTTTCTAAAGCAATTAGTAAATCATAAAAACTCAGGAAATTTAATACTAAGGTTTTAACAAAACAATATTTGCACAATTTATGAATTGGAATTAAAATCTCTCAAATTATTATTATTTACCCTTCTACGCCATAAGTACAACTAGGCTTAGTACTTCAAAAAAATTAAAAAAATTACAAATATTAAATATTTTAAAAATATATTATGATGAAGAAAAAATTCATTTAATACACGTAAAATTTTTATTCTAATTGTGCCGATGTACAACAAATACAACACTAGTCAATATAAATGATAAATCTGTGTTTGTAATACTAAATTCAAAATACTTACACATCGCAAATGATACAAAAAAAATTTTACTTATAAAAATTGAGTTTTGCAACTATAATAATGAAATAATGTATTTTACATTTCTTTATTCTCGGTTTGTTTGCGAATAAAATATATTAAAAACATTTTTATACTTTTATATAATGAATATTTCTATAGTTATTTAAAAATAAATATATGTTAAAAATAATTTAAGACCAATAATTTTGCATATTGGGACAAATCTCCATTTAGATGCGGGCTTGAACATACCAAAAGAAAATATACATGGGTAAGTTCAAAAAGGAACATTATAATCATACATGTTATGATACCTGAACATTTTTATTGGGACGAGTATTCAAATACTAAAGAAAAAATGTATTTGAAGACATTTTTTTTAAAGTATTTAAATAGAAATATTAGTAACAAGTCTTTCAAATACTTTAAAGTAGGAGGGTAGCTCCCATTTCATAATAAATAAATTCTTGTTTTATAATTTATTCATTACAAAAAAAATTAATTCACAGTCTTGTTTCTGTGGTGTTATATTTTTATACTAAAATAAATGATGTTTCATCAAAACAGAGATGGCCTAAAGAGAAGGCACTAGAGGCAGTCGCCCGCTATTTAAAATTATATCTAAAGACCCTCAGTTCTGATTTTGTAATATTACTGAACTTTCCACATTTTACTTAAAATTAAGTATACATGTATTTTGTTGATAACAATTGTTACACCACAGAGGTTAGGAGCTTTTAATAAAAATAATTAGATTCGTTTGAATTTTTTTATTTGTGACTATAAAGTGTCATGTTATAATTTTTTTGTTTATTAATATTTTGGTGATTAGTAATGGCAGACGAAAAATTTTTGGATAAGAACAAAAAATACGATTACAGATAATAATCAATACTCAAATAATATTATTTAATTAAATTACGTTTAATCATTATAAAATACACGTATTTTAAACTAATTTCAATTTTATATTTACATTTTAAAATTTAATTAAATGAATCTAGTAAAATTAGTGTCGTAATTAGAATGATCTCAGTGGCAGTACTATGATAATATAAATATTTTTGTTGACTATTGTTTTTTCTCATAATCATCTTGAAATAAGTAAAAAATTGTTGCCAAATTTGTTTCATGGTATCTTGTCAGTTAAAAATTTTACTGTGTCTTAAGTATGAATTATCACTAGTATGAGTGATTTAATTCAAATAAATTACATAACTAATGTATTAATAAAAAAGTAACTTCTATTGTAGTTGAGTTATCTTAAAAGTGATGTAACTTTATTATTTGTTATATTGAATAATCTATTGAGTAATTTGTAATTTAATTACCAAAAAAAAGTTTTAAATTACATGTTAGGTAAAAAACTACCTAACACTAATTGCAACAGAAATAAAACATTTAAACAAAATCAAATAATATAATAAACATCACGAACAGTATTGGAACACATCCGTTAATGCAATCGGATATTAATGAAAAACACTAGGAGGGGTCTGGACACTCGCTCCTTAGCATTGACTAGGAGAAAGAGGAAATACGTGCTCTTCACACATAAATAAAAATTAATTTAATTTATAATAAAATAAAAATGGAATATAATAATAAATAAAAAACATAGCTCATTACATAAATATAATTATAAAAAAGAAAACGACACCCGGTCTTTGAAGAGACCCATCCGATGATCTGGATGCTTTACCGAAAAGACATAGCCATTCGCTGTTGTCAGCTCTACTCCATCATTGAAAATATAATAGTCACGAGAAAACAAGAAACATGTGCATTCTAGCACGGTCAATGACAGATAGGAGATGAAGAGCCAACACCGATCTAACGGCAATTTCAAATCGATAACGACCAGTCTTTTTGGGAGTGATCAATACTATCGGTATTGATTTTATATTTATTCTCTTGTCACCTTATTTAGCGATCAGCGGCAAAAATAATTAGTTGTTGACATCGCTGCAACAAAAAAGTTCATTCGTGCAATCTTTTGCGCGATATTCTATAAATAAGTAGACATAATAAAAAATTATAAATGGTCTACCTTCGAATTTGTGATGTTATAGTATTTAACGAGTATTCAAAATACTATTTTCAAAAAGTATCTTGGATGCTTAACATGCATGAATAATCAAAAACTTTAATAAAGTGATAAATTCTTAATATATATTTTACACAATACATAGTAATATCAACTGTTTTCATTTCTTATCAGTAATGATAATTATAAGTTAATATTATTGATAATAAGGAGAGCCGACAGGTTGAGGGATTGTGTACAAATTATGATTTCGTAAAAATAATTTTTAAGTGCGTTATTATTATTTCATTTAATTTTAATAAAGAGTTCAATTTGTTGATGTTTAAAGACCAATAAAATATTAAATATTATTAAGTTATTAAAATACATATAAAAATAATAAAATATGATTTACAATATTATGATAATATATCTAAATAGATTAAGTTAATATGATATATAATTTATATATTTAAAGAAAAGAGAATTTTGAAAATGCCCACTGAAGTAACCGTACAAAATCTGTTCATTTTTAACTCAACATTATCAAAAACTGAAGATGATGTAAGTAATTTTATTTTCTAAATCAATAAATACATTTAACTTAAAAAGATTGCTGTTTTGTAAAAAGACATAAATGAACTGTTATAAAAGCAAAATAATTATTATTATTCCAATTTTATATCTGTAGATTTAATAAAGTTCTTTAATGATAATGATAATGATTTTTAATTGTTAAACATTTAAATATAATTTTTAATTAATATCTTAATAAAAAAAAAAAATTTGAATTAGGTACTATGTATATTAAAATAACCAATTTGTTTTAAAATATTACAAATTAAATTTGCAAATTACATTTTGTTTGGCTAAATAGTATTCATCTCAAACATTTTTTATATTTGTATAAATGATAATATTTTGTTCACAGATCAGTTTTTGATTAAAAGAAAAAATATTTTTCATGATTTTATTACAAATTAATATAGTATTATTGGAAATAAAGAAATGTAACATTTATGAATTTTTGAATTACGTAAATTTTGTGTTTTCCTTAAAAAGTATTTTTTTATTAGGGAGCTAACAAAATTTTGTTTTATTATCCTACACAAGAAGATGAAAATAAAAAAGTACTCAATATTGGTCATATTGAAGCTGTTATCTGTTTTATGAGGTATTTATTTGGTTTATTTATAACTCTTATGTTTTGTATCTGTAAAAATGAACAACTTATTTTTAAATTTATATTTTTTGAATTGATTTTAGAAATTTCAATGATAGTCAGTCATGTGAATCATTACGAACAAAAAAGTCACTACAAGTTATGTATAACGCAGAACAGAATTTTTGGATAGTTATAGTAATAAAAATCATTATGTTAAAATACTATTTTTTGTTGGATTGATATCCGTTTTTTATGTTTATTATTTCAATGAACATGAACGTTTCTACTTGAAAAAATACCAAAATAAATCAACAAGTTCAACTATTTAGTAAATATTCCAAATTCTGGTTGTATATTTCACATTATATTATTGATTTTAAAGTTTTTATCCATTTTTTGACACAAAATTAGTTTTAGAAAATAAATTCTTATTCGTTATGATATAATAAAAGTTAGTAATAGTATAAAATGTTTATTTACTAATTTTAAATTATTGGTAAAACGTTTAAAGATTTTCCATTAAAAAATTAAATAATTTATTTATAAGTTTATATTATTTTTATAATTATAATGAAATCATTTATTTTTTAGAAATTATCGGCAGTTTGTAAATCTTCACAGAAGTCGTCAGAAACACAAAATAATGTAGAATATTGTACTTATAACTTACAAGAACCAATTTATTTATCTATTTTGAAACATTGGTATTATACTTTTCTTATGATTGTGGGTTCAATGACAGATATAATGAATGAAAGTGGTCCAGATAAGCTTAGGCTTCTGCTTAAACAGTTTTATAATAAGGTAATCATATAATGTTTGGCTTTTGTGTGTAATTTATTACATATATTTTTAGAATAATTTTAATATTTTTTTATAAATATAAAAATTAATTCACAGTTATTATATATTTTTATTTCAGTATTTGCAAATTTCTAATGTATCAAATTATACTTTTATGGATTTGTTTCATGGTATTAGTTTTTTGCCACTAGACAACACTGTTCATCTATATGCTCAAAGTTTTTTAAACACAATAGAAAATTCCTTCATACAAGTTAATTATACCTTGCTCTTGTATAATGACTCATTAGTTTGGTACATTAAAAAATTAATATTTTTAATCTCTATGAATTTAGTGCCAACTTTATTTTTTTATTATTATAGGAGTGGTTTAAGCAAACAACAAACTCAGCTTGTTTATTCTTACATTTTAATGTGGGTTTTACCAGATATTACTCGAGATGAGAATATAGTTAAAGGAAATTCTTTAAAAAAATGTTTACCAAATCAGTTGGTTGGAAGGTGGATAATAATGTTTTCTCAATGATAATTATTTAAACATCAATTAATATTTATTTAATTCACTTATATTTAGATTTATAACAAATACATGGGCAATAATTACAGATAGTTGGAATAGCGACCTTGGTAAAGTTCCAGTATTTTTGCTCAATGATGAAAATGACGGAACAATTAAAAAATATAGATTAATAATGTACAAAGCACATAATTCCATTGTTTGTATGTTTATGAAAAGTAAGAAAGTAACTTTATTTTTATTTTATTTAAATAGTGGAGGTCAGAATAAAAAGAAAATCAAATCAGTTAAAATTATACATAGTATTCATTTATTTCATGTTATTTATTTCACTAATTGATATTAAAAGTAGTTAACTATATAATTAAAGTTTGTTATGGTTTAATAGTGTCAAATTTTATCTGGAAAAATTATTTTTTAAATTATTTATTAGAAATAGTTATAATCTTAATTTGGTCTGATTGTTTTTTTTCACAATTTTAGTAGTTTCAATTTAAGTCATATTTTATCAAATTACATTGATCTCATTCTATATTTTGAAAAGTTATTGTTTTCTTAATTAATAGTATCTTAAATACATTTAAAAATATTTTCTTTAGGACATATAATAAGGAAAATAAAATTGTTTTTGTAAGAAATTGTTAGATATGTATGCCAAAAAAATGTAAAAGTACTAAAAAGCATAAATGTATAGTATACATTGTATACAGTTTAATATTTTATAGTCTATACATAGCTTTACATAACACAATAAAAAAAAAAATACAAATTTATTAATTAAATTTATAGATTGATAATGATTTAACATTATTATCTTTGTGGGTTTCCCTCCGAAGAGTTTCACCTACAACCGTGATTAGTGTTAGCACTGGATGCTATTTACCCTGCACGGAGGATCAGTATGAGTTGGAGTGATGTCACTATTGGTCTTTGCTCGCACTGTGTCTTCAAACAGAACACCAGTGCCAGACAATTAAGTTATCCGTACCATTCGCCCTTTGTTTGCACCAACCTCAGGAACCTTGGTAGGGTCGCAGAACTGTCCAAGCTACTTTGTATTATGATATACACAACCTTCAGTGTATCTCCCCACTGAAAAAGCTGAATAAGGCTGGTAGGTGACAAGGATAGTCACTTAAGTGACCCATCACTCAGTTGATTTCTCTAAAGCCAGCATTTAGACATAAACCACAAAGTCACTCCTGTGATAGACACCATGGTTCCAACCCCCACTATTACCCTAGCAGTAAACCGGTCTGATAATGAGTGTCAAGTCGGCAGACAATGACTAGGCCTTTGTCTGGGGCATCCGTCTCCCTGTAGTACGGAAAACTTCCGTGGGGGTTTCAACTATGCGTCATCAACTTTTGTCTCAACAACTGCCTACCCGCCTTGAGTTGGTACACTCTGGCCCGATTAAGCCAGGCTATAGGTTGTCACCCTGGCCTACTGGAGTATCACCGCTCACTATGATTTAAAATTAATAATAAACTAAGAAGAATACAGATGAGTCAAAAAAACTTTAAAATATAGGTTCCTAAAAATAGATAAAAGTGTAATATCTTATGTTGCCATAAAAATTTTATGAATTTTATCGCATTAATATATATTTGTTTCTAATTAACCTGATCAGGGTTAACAGAAAATTTATTTGGGTAATAAAATATATCATTTAAAAGATTAAAAATAATTATTTTAGTTGTTTGGTATTTTGTATTAATTCTAATGCATCATGAAATAAAAGAAAAAAAGCAAATAATAATTTTAAAGCTTAGTTGTATAAGTTTTTATATTTTTATTTCAGTGGAAAATTCATTAACTATAGATTTGTACAATAGACTTGATCAGTTCCTGAGCACCAAACTTCATTTATTATCAGAAAAAATGAAAAATACAGTAGAAAAAATGTTACCGTTAAAAATCCATGTTGAAAGACCAGCTAAATTCATATACTTCAATGCAATGAATTTAGCTATAAAAAATTCAATAAAATTATCAAATACATTGGCTACTACAAGACCATTAGACTTTTATCTTAGCCCAGAGACATTACGTGTTCTAGTTGATATTAGTAACCAAAATATAAAGTATGCTTATTTTAATTTTAAAAATACAAAATATTTTATTATTTTGACTAATCCCTATAATCATTTTTAATTTATTAAAGTAAGCTTCCAACATGTTCTACTATGGTTAAAACATCTAATGACAACTGGATAGCTAGTCATCTATGTAATTCAAGAGAAATTTATATTGTGTTAAATCAAAAATTAACAAAACTATGTGATGTTGACAGTAAATATAAATTATTAATATTATTTTAATTTTATATTATATTAGAATTATTTTATTTTTAGTGGAAATTCAAAATTTATGTGCACAAGAACTTGGAACAATTTTCTTTTATGACTAGTATTGTACAGCTTACTTTATGAGAAAAGTACTTATTTTCTAACTGAACAATTAAATAGTCATTTGTATTGTTAATTATCATAGTTTTCTCTGTAATGAGTTATTGTTATCTGTATTAATTGTAATCTTGTTATAAATTAAAATTGATTCTATCATAATTATTCTAAATTCAAGTAAATGCATTTATTTTACTAGAGAGGTATATATTTTTGATATCAAATATCAATGTTGATAAATATGTGTATTTATTTTTATATGTTCAAAATTAGAGTATCTATTATGTAAAAAAAATGTAAATTTATAAATTATTAAAAAAAAAATCAGTTTTTAAAATTTTCATGTATAATTATAATAAAAACTACTTTTTACTTCCTATTCTCGCTTATTATTCATTTGTTATACTTGTCTAATCATAGGCAAAACAACAGCCTGGGTCATCTGAACTAAACGATTGAGGCATCATTCCAGACTTTAAATTAATAAATAGTTTTTAGATTTAAAAAAAAAGTATATAGATAGACAGAAAATTGTCTGCATAGTGATTGTATAACTATGATCCATACAACGTCATTAAAAATAAAAGACAAAATTATTTTTTATTTTTAAAAGCTAATAATATTCAAAAGTCTATAATTTTAAGAAAATAATTTGGTCCTATACCCTTTTTTTCCCATAATATTTTATTAATTTAAATTTTTAGAATGGAATCATGTATATTTCCATTTAAATATATACAAGCTGATCTGTTTATTATGCTTCATTTGATTACTCGCTAAATTAATACAATATTGAAAAAAACATTTTTGATTCTTTTTAGTTGATTTATCAGCCAATAATTATTTTTTAAAATCATCCTTTATTAATTTAAGGAATATTACTTTATTTTTTTTAAATGGACACCTACATATTTAACTAGTTTATTAAATAGAATATTAACTAATTAAGAAAATGACTAGTCGATGACAACTTTTGAACTAGTTATTCGGAAGTTAGTACCATTTTAAAATATTGATTGTATGTGAGATGCTTAAATTGTTATTTTTATCATAATATAATATATTATATAATACTAGAAATTACGAGAAATAATATTTCTCGCTCGTATTCCTCCTCCCATCTAGGTATAAAAATGAGAGTAATTTCCGTGGACACATATATGTTTATTCAATTTACCAACTATAAACTGATCTATGAAAAGGACTGGCCAATAACAACTTTTGGACTAGACTTTCAAAGATTATTACCTTTTTTTAATCAAGCGTGAAGAGTAATGAGGTTCATTAATTCTTAAAGATAAAATTAAACAGAACCGTGTTTCACACATTGAAGAGTTATTAACTTGAAAAATACTGGTTTAAATGTTGTTTTCAATAAGCTATTTTCTTAGATAATTTTTTTAGTTCCTAAATTTAATAAATATATATGTTCACATTAAAACTATAGTTCACACAATTTTTAAGGAAAAAAGTGTGAGGGTAGAAACAATTTTTTTTGTTTAATTAAACTTTTAAAACTAAAAGTAATAATATATTATATATTTTTCAAGATATTGCGTGAGCTATAGTTAAATAATCACTGTATAATGTATTGTACTATATTGATCATTTTTATAGTATATTATGCTATAAAAATACTGTTAATTTGCCATTTAATAATGATTTATTTCTTAAAACTTTGCTGTTAAAATTAATGTTTGTTACTAAAAAAAAAATACAAATGAATTATTTTCATATATTATAATATGCAAATATAAATATTAGTTAGACAAAAATTTTGTAGAGAACACTAACAATTTTTTTGTAATGAAAAATTTTAATATTACAACAACGGAATAATTAATTTAAATAAATGATTTAATATGTTTATTAATATATTGTATTAACATTAATTATTGCTTTTCATTTGTTTGTATACACATGTGTATACAAACAAATGAAAAGAATCAAAGTATTATTGTAAAGTTTCAATAATATATTTTTATTTGTATCTAGTTAATTTACTTAAATTATAATTTAACAAGTAATAGAATAGTAAACAAATTTTAAAGGGAATGTAATCCTCCTTCACTCACTTTGAAATGGTCTCTGGACTAAGTATCAGATTAGATGGCAATAGTGAAAGAATGCTTTTTACGGAAGATATGATTATATTTTGGATATGTGCTTTCTCTGCTAAAAAGCATTTGAAAAGCTAAAATCAAAGAGTCGCTACTTAATCTAAACATTTTGACATTATCTTCTTGACTGGTGTTTAATAGCACGTCTACTGTTGAAATACTTTATCACAATAACTGACTTTTGTTATATTCAAGTTAACCCTTGTCATTTTAGATACATTACAATTACAATCGTTATACATAGTGATTATCGCGTATTGTTAATATGAAATTTTCGATTAATTGATTACTCTTTCGACCATTAAAAGAACCCTATACATTTTATAAAACATTTTTATTTTATCGATTCAAATAAATTTGAGGCGTATAATTTTAAAAATTGTATATATTGAAAGTAGATATTAGTTTAAATATACAGAGTTAATAGCGTATGAAGGATTTTAGTTTGATAGTATCAGAGAGGTTTGATAAATTAAAAATATTAAACTCGCATAATTCTATGACAAATAACATTTGTCTTCGAAAATGTTTTATTAGTAATATTTAAGTAATGATTATTATAATTAACTGTATTTATTGAGAAATTGTTTTGGGAAAAACCCCCCAAGAGGGAAGGACTTAAAAATACCTTAATTTTGACACAATGAGGAGGAGGTAAGAACTTTTTTTTGTTCTAAAAAGCTATTAAAGGACAGTACAAACTTTTAAAATAAATTTTTCCAAATAAAATAACAAGTGATTTTTCAAAATTACCCTTAAATAATTAATTGAAATTAAAATAAAACTACTTTTTATTAAAATAATTTTAATTTAGACTGAAATCACTTAATGAGTAGTTTCGTTACTGTATTTTAACTTGTAGTTCTAGTTAAGTTATTATCCAATACTGCGTACAGTGGCGCAACTATAGGGATACTAAAGATTGTTTCAGCACCTCAGGCTTTAGTACTTTCCCTGAATTTTAATATTTATAATTATAACTAAGTCTTTTTACTTATACAAATTTGCTATCAATTTTTTTTGTATACATTTTTTTCTTATCTTACATTACATTTACATTTTATTACTATTGTAGCGAATAAAATCGTTATTATGAGTATATTGGTACAATTTAATATTGAATCACTAATTAACCATAATCGTTGGTTCGGTTATATAATCATCTATAAACTGTCATTATTAATATAATCGTTCATATCAATGTGAATGATTGATGAGTGGGGACGGGAAGCGCTTCCACAGCTTTGTAAGCCTTCCACAATTTTAGCACCTTCAGGATTTTTTCTATAGTTGCGTATAATACAGGGTTATTAAAGAAACATTTTAAAAGAAAAACTTGTATAATCATAAGTAAACAGTTTAAAACATTTAAAATGTTCCAAAACATCAGTGTAAATATTGAATTTTTTAGTTTTTAAAACGTAACGTAATTGGTATGATATAGGTACAAAATATACTTATTACAGGAGCCAAAATCATGTCATTATTAGATTTTTTTATTATTACAATTTTTTTTTTTTTAAATAGATTGTCATTAAAAGGAATAACAAAATTTGTTTGTAATAGGGCGGCATTGGCCCTTGATTATCAATCCAGCTTGAGACATATTAATTAAACATCGATGGTGTTATTTGGTTTGTTGTGACGTGGTTATATAACAAAAAATTAATTAAATTAATTTAAATACCTTTGTATTTTTTCTTGGTATTAATGTGTTATTAAAGTATAATTATTAATGCAATGCATTTGGCTAAAACGGAATAAGTGATTTAGAAATTGTGCGCGTGCGTTTTCATTGTAATTGAACTCCCCGTCGCATTGTCGTTAACTGCGACCAACTTTGAAGTCCATTATTCTGGTCTGAACTCTCAGAAGGGCTCTAACGGTTTTTAGGCGATTTGAGTTTGGCAGTGTATTTAGCGCGCCGGTAACAGCTACACCTACTGCATTGGCCGTAGGCGCCATGCATTCCTCGGTCGTCACATCACGTAAACTAGACCGCCAACAGGTACATAATTTTCAAAAATGTTAACTATTTACAAAAATTGTAATAAATAAATATAGGACTATAAATTAAATTTATTAGTAGTTATAAATAGAGCGCGGATTTGTATTTATTCTCCTGAAAAATTTGAATATATATAACAATACAGGGATGCCGAAACTGTTTTTTGAATGGGGGGGGGGGCAATAATTTAATGACTAAAACTCGATCCCCATAATTATTACTAAGCTAAAAAGCGGGTTAAGCTATTTTCGGTGGAATATAGTGATCATATAAAAAAATTCGGTAATTTATAAAATTAACTCTTAATACTTCATATAATTTGATTATATTATTAATAAATATTGATAATATAATAAAATATATTTAATAGATTAATTACAAATTTTTTTTATTTATTACAATAAATAAAATAAAGATTACTTATCGTTAACTTTAAAAACTGTTTAGTTCAATGTATGGGACATTCAACATCAAACTTTTTTAGCAGAAAAACTTTAACTGAATTAAAAATTAAGATTTAGAAATATATAAATGAAATACAGGAAAAAAAAAATTAATTTTAGGTGAAAATTTAATTACAATTTTATTTTAGTAACAAAATTCTTGAAAGATAATATTGGGATACTCACAGAATATGAAAATCGATAAAAAACGATTTTTAGGTTCGATGCGAAGCTTAGAAGGTTTAAATTTTACCTTGATGTGTTTTTTTTTTATCTTTCGACACTTTTACTCAGCTTTCACCGAACTCATTTCTTTAACGATACGACAAAATGTAACAAATCGTATCTAGTTGCAGACATTGCCCTTAAAAATTGATAAAATTTCCCTCATTCCCTGTAAATGGAGGAAATCCCCACAAAAATTATAATTTTTAAAATCGATAAAATTTGAATTTTTTTTTTTTAAACTACCATAACTTTTTGAAAAATGAACGTACCAAAATAATTTTTTTATGTATAGAAACATTAGGTAATTCCCTTTCATTTGATAAAATTTTTTTGAAAATCCGACCCTTTCTTTATCTCCAAGAGGTTTCAAAATCGCAACTTTTTCACAATATTCAATATTTTCAACTTAAATTTTGAAAATATTTCAGAAATACTGCATCCTTTAAACATATGTTAAATTAAAGCTTATATTACCTTATCTTCGTTGTACAAACGGCTGCCGTAGTTAAAAAAATTCTATTTTTGTGTTAAGATTTTCGATATTTGATTTTAAATTTTCAACTTTAATTTGCTATAGCTTTTTAAAAAATGTATAGATTAATAGAAATTTTTGTTTCTAAATACTTTATATATACTTCTATTATCCGACATATTTTTTTTTTTAATCGGACAATTTTTCCTTATACGGGGAGCGTTCAAACTTGAAAAATATTTATAAAAAGTAGAACTTTTTCAACTTAAATTTTTAAAATGTTTCAGAAATACTGCATCTTTTAAATATTTTTTAAATTAAAGCTTATGTTACGTACTATAAGTTAAAAAAAAAATTTGTCCCGACAACTTATCTTCTATGTGTAAATGGCAGTCAAAGTTGAACAAAAAATAGAAGTTAATTTTGCTTTTGGAATAATCCAATTTCTTAAAATTAAACACTACCTACAGATTTGTATCGAAGCATTTCTTATGATAGTGATTTTAATCACTGTTAGATATTTTCTATATTTTTTTTAAATGAAATTATTAAAAAATATTTTTTTAACTTAACCCAAATAATAATAATTAATTTTATTGTTTAGTCATAATTTTTTTGTCAGATTCTATTGGGATGGCATAATGATACTTTCGCACCCCTCGTATTTTGACCATGGAGGCAACTGTAACATATACTATTATACAAATGTATTCTTTTAACATCAAAGTATGTACATATATGCAAAACAAATTCAATAAATAATAATTAACAAAATCAATAACGTTATGAAAATAATAATTATCAAATATAATATTTTTTTAAACTTTATTTTTAATATTAAATTTATACACGAAATAAATCAAATATTTTACAAATTATAATAATAACTAAAATAATATATATTTTTTTAATTTTTTAAACCTTTAACTCGTTATTGCCGGAGAAAAAAATCATATGATGTTACACAATAACAAAATATTTTTAATCATTTGGATCTTAGGAAGTCTATTGTCCAAAAAATGATAGATAGACAGAATTGCATTTAGGGCAAGAGGAAAATAAAAAGATCATTGGGGCGGTAGTATTGAATACCTTGGATGGCATAATTCCTAAATCGCGGCTCTGTAACAGTAGTTGATATTTCTAGATACAAAAAACTCATGGGATGATTAATGTCATTTAACTTATGGTATTACGATAAACAATAGATTAATAATTTTAGCACTTCATTAACAATTATAATTGATAATAATCAAATCGTAGTGACATTGAAAACTGTCGTACAACGTACCTAATAATAAATTTTTATAAAATAAAAAGAAAAACTTTTTGTAGCAGTTGAAATATACATATTTATTTAACTTCTGCGAATATTTCTATACATATACAGTAGAACTCCAATTATCCGAATTAATGGGGACCGGGACCCATTCACTGACTAATCAAAATAAACAATGACAGGTGACTGCAATGCGCCGGAACTGGAGTGGGAACTCTTACCACGTGTTGTGCCTACACTGACGCCGCGGACTTTGGACAAATTTTTTTCTGATTTTTTCTGAAAGTGATTCGGATAATCGGCGATTCGGATGATCGGAGTTCGGATAATTGGAGTTCTACTGTATTTTTAATTAGTCAAACATGCAAAAATATAATTTTATTTTATGTATTTTTTAACATGAAATTATTCATTTATATGCACATAAAATTTGTATTCAGATTCTTTGTACTGGGAATTTTTGAAAAATCTCGTGAATGTGCATTCATCCATTAAAAACATGTTTTTACCTAGAATTTCGCGATCTAATTATAAATATATGTATATATATACCTTTAAATACTAGTTGGGCACATTATTTTGTATTAATAAGTGTTAATTAATAGTTTTTTAAGTTGCTGGCCAGTACCTATTTTATTAAAGCTATTATTCATAGCCAATTTTTTAGCTCGTAAATTGATAAATAATATTTAGTTTTAATCGTATACCAATTTTGACCAGGAAAATAAATTTTATCTATGAAAAATTAATGAATGAGTCGAATGAGTTATATAATTGAATAATTATATACAAATTAACCAATTATGGTGTGATTAATACGTTTAATGAAATCTAAATTAAATGAACATTGTTAATAAATATATAGATAATAATAAATGTGCTGTTAAAAATATTATTGCTATTTAGCTATGACAACATTCTTCATGTTTTTAGGCTGTGTAAATATTTATTAAAAGTGTTATACTAATGAATGTGTTACATAAAAGCTGTTTAAATTCATTGATATGCAATTGTTAATTAAATTAAGGGGCTATTGTATTGTAATAGACCAAAAAACTTGACATTTTTGGTAAACATTTTTTTTTTGTAAGTTCTACAATACATTTGATGAAATAACTTTGGCCTTGCTAGAAATAAAATGCTGAAATGTTTACTAGTACTTTTGAGTATCAGATTTATAATCTATAGTACAATAAAGTATAATATAAATTAATATATAATAATTTATATTATATAGTATAATACAGAAATCTGTAGTATCAATAGTTAGAATGGAGTAAGGGGTACAGTAAAAATTAGAAAACAAAGTTTTGGTAACTCAGAATTTACTAAGCTGTCAAATTTTTTAATTTTGTTAAAAAGTTATACAATAGATACAATTATCACTACAATACCAACAATAACTTAGCGCATAAAGTTTTTTAATTTAATGAAGTTCATCTGTTCAGTGTTTCCATGTTTTAAGGTGGTTCTAATTTATAAACTATTTAATTTATTTTAATTTATCTCAAATTTAAATAAATTCTTAGTTGCAGCGACGCCGATCCTTAAGATTTAAGAAAATTATTAATTTTTTTGTAGTCGCAAAAAATCATTTTTACTGCTATAAAACTCAACGTTTTTTCTTTTTTATAATAATTATTTTAATTATTAAAAAGATCCAAATTACAATTCTTAACAAAATTATTTAATCTTAGAGATTTATCTAATAACTCAATATATAAAAAATCTCATCTAATACGTTACAATAAATATTTTTCGTAACTTATCCCATTATACACAATGTAACTTTAATCTCAAAGAATATGTCTCAGTCAAGTTTATATACATAATTGACACATATTATTTGATCTGTTGATAATTGAAATGTCGTTTAAAATTTAAAAATAACTAATTTTGGGTATATGTCGGCTTGTCCTCCTTTTTATGTAAACTGTGAATTATAATGACTGCAGTCATTGGTTAAATACTTATAGGTAGACCATGTGATAAGTAATTTCGAGAACCCTCATTTTGAATTCCCGCCGTAATGCTATCTGATAGATAGCATTAGTATCGCGCTGTTCTATTGGTTAAAAAATAGAAATGAGCCAATCAAAATTAATAATACGAACACTATTTATTAGTTAATCTTATTTGGGGTTATAAAATTTCCTATTGCGTTGTCTAATTGTATTTAATGAATGCTACAGGTTAGGACTAAATGAACGTAAACGTATCGACAATGGCGGCGTAGGTGTGCAGATAGTACAGACGCACAAAGATTTGCGCTTTCAATATCTTACATAGTTATAGGCCTCACAATTATTATTTGCAAATTATAGATCCGACACTATATTCTAAACACAATAAATTTAAAGACTTTATAATCTCTCTAAGTAAAATTAAATAAAGAGCAAAGTATAATTTCTAAAATGGAACTACCTGAATAATAGTTTTTATTATCAAAAAGGAACAAATTGAATTGATACCGAAACACAAATCTATGATATTTAAAAACTAATACATTATAAAAATAAGAGTTGAATCTTTGGTTCCATTAATTTTAGTAACTGAATTTTAAAACTATAAATGAGTT